TGACGCCGGGAAGTTTTACAGAACAGAATGTGTCTCAGAGCTCAAGAGGGCAGACTGCTCAGACAGAACCAATAAAATTCAGAGAACTACGTGGAGGAATAATCAAGTCTGGGCCTCAGAGCCCAAGAGGATGTGACCACAAGCTCGCAGCCGTAGCCACGACCCCACAGCACCGCTGCTCAGTGACCTGGGGCACCTCTGGGCCGTGCACCTGAAATACATTTCGTTTTCTCTTCCATCGGTTCCACACCCACTGGATCCCTACATCCTCCCCAGCCTTCCTAGCAGGTCCCAGGTGGCCCTGTCTGGACATGGCCTCCCTCCTCACCCGTCACAAATTACCCATGCCTCCACACACACAACAAACACGATTAATATTTGTGTGCAGTATAAATACCTGACTTCCTTACTTTGCTAACTAACCGTTCTTTTCTTTTGTCCGTGAACCTCAAACTCGTGTGCCTCTTAATGTGAGTGCCTGGAAGGCACATTTGACATCAGTGTATCCTTGTAAAGTGTTCATGCTCTGTGACCCACGGTGAGCCTAAAGCCAGCCAACTTTATAAAAGCAAAGCCTCACTGTCTGGCCCCCTCTTCCCTTCCCCAGAGCCTAAATGTCCCTCCTTCAGGTCCTTCATTGGCCCAGTATACAGCTGCTGTTCTCTCCCCCACGGTCTGCTCAAACCCCACTCTCAGAAACTCATTTATGTTGTAAGGTCATCCAGCCGGCTACATTCATTTTTCCCAAAGTCTGGAATGTTGACCCACTCAGTACTAAAAGACTGAAAGACTTAGAAGGCAGTGTGGGGGGGGGGTTACATGATGTCAAAAGGTTTGGATTTTGTTTCAGGGACTCTGCTTCTCATCCCAGTACTGCTACAGTTTAACCCCACAACGTCCCTTCCCCAACTGGACCTCAGTTTCCCTATCTGTAAAATAAAAGCAGAGGACATAGGACTAGATGATCCACCCTATTCTGTCATCCTCTGCCTTCATTCCATCCAAGCACAGAGCAGAAATGAGCAGAGGACACAGATTTTGGGGCTAGAGACGGAGATTCGATCCTGGCTTTGCCATATACCAGCTGCGTGATTTGGGACAAATTACCTAACTTCTCTGAGACTCAATTTCTCTTCCAGAAAATGGAAAATAAAATTAAAATCCCTATCCGTGCAATACTCTTACGAGAACTTCCATAAGTCAGGCCCCTAATTAGAGAATAAGTAGAGACTGGCACTGAATAAAAGTCAGCTGCCATCCTTCCTGTGCGCTATTCAAGGGGCTGTTGGCTCCGAGAAGCAGGCAGAGGAGGTGGGACACTAGGGAAGGCCTGTGATAGGAGCCCCAGAAACCACACAGACAGGGAGCATCCTACACCAAGCACTATTTAAAAGCAGAATTCAAAAAAACACAGCTGACTGCTGGGGGATGAGCTCTATCAGGACCTGAGCTGAGGGAGGCTGCCCCCGCTACCTGGGAGCTCCCATGTCCAGGGAGGTTTAATCAGTAACCTGAGCAATAGGTGAGGTGATTGGGAAGGCAGGGAGTGAGGTTGGGCACTTCATGTATTTATATGACTACTCCTCTACTAGCTTTGAGGGCAAAAAGTGCCCTTTCCATGGCAACTGTAGTCAACAGACTTTCACCCGCTTGAACTGTGGACTTGGAGAAGTCTTGCTCCGAGAACGGGAGTCCATTAATCAAGTGCCAGCTCACAAGCTGGACCCAGGAACTGTTCCCTTACCAACTGCCCGCAAGTTCAGGGTGACCTCCCCACCCTCCCTGCTTACGTTTCTTTTTCTCCTCTTATACGGCTGCCCTACCCCTTCAGGAAGTCTGATTTCTCTACCCCTCCCAGTCTCTGCACACTGATCTCTAACAAAATAGGAGTGTAACTAAAAACTAATCCCGAAAGAGCGAAGGAGAAGTGACGGAGGTGGAATCGTCACATGGCAGGGAAGGCACAAGGACACCAATCGGGGGAGTAGCCGCTTGAAGCAGGCAGCTGGGCAGGAAGGGAGCAGTAGTCCTGGGTGTCAGTCCCAGCTGCGAGACAAAGCCTCGTTGGCCCTATAGGTGAGCGCAGGTTTTCATTAAGTTGTGTAAAAAACATATATGCAAGACTGTTCAATGGGGAAATGATAGTCTGTTCAAAAAATGGTACTGGTAGAACTGGATATCCACATGCAAAAGAGTTAACTTGAACCCCTACTTCACATCATACACGAAAATTAACTCAAAATGGATCAAAGACCTAAATGGAAGAGCTGAGACTACAAAACTCTAAGGAGCAAACATAGGCATCAATCTTCACGACCTTGGCTTTGTCGATGGATTTTTTTTTCTTAGTGTCACAGAATCAGTGAATTCAATGACAACATAAGCATGAGCAACAAAAGTAAAAGTATATAAAATGAACTTCATCGAGATTTAAAACTTTTGTGCATGAAAAGACACTATCAAGAAAGTGAAAAGGCAACCACAGAACGGGAGAAAACATTTGCAAATCATACATCTGATGGGAGTCTACTACCCAGAATATATTAAAACTCTTCCAACTTACCAGTAAAAAAGACAAACAACCTGCACAGAAAAGGGAACCCTTGTGCACTGCTGGTGGGAATGCAGATTGGTGCAGCCACTGTGGAAAACAGTATGGGGATTCCTCAAAAAATTAAAAATAGAACTGCCTTATGATCCAGCAAGTTCACTTCTGAGCATATATTTTAAGAAACCCAAAATACTAATTCAAAAAAATATATGCACCCCTGTGTTCATTGCAGCATTATTTACAAGAGCCAACAGATGGAAGCAACCCAAGTATCCATCAGCAGACAATTGGATAAAGAAAATATAGTACATATGCACAATGGAATATTACTCGGCCAAAAAAAATAATGAGATCTTACTATTTGTTGTCTCAGCTTTAAGTATTCAGGAAAATAGGAACACTGGTAGTTACCTTTTTTCAGCATCCTACCTAGCAAGAATGGACGGCTCAATTCAGATTCAACCTGACCCAGAATTCAGCCAGGAAAGAGCTTTTACAAAACTCTAAATTGGTCCAGTCTCCCTTTTGGTGCTGGATGGAGAAAGACCATAAAGAAGAGGAAAACTGGCCATAGCCAGTGACACTGTGCCCCTCTGAGAACAGTGGGCACTTTGTACCTGCTGGCTAAGGCGGAAAGCTGAAGCCACGCCCTGTGACATCTCAGAAAATGTCCCTTCTCTCTCTGCCCTTGGATTTGGCACTGGATTCTCAGAAATGACAACAAAAGCATCAGCCACAAAAGAAAAGAAGATAAATTGAACTTCATCACGATTTAAAACTTTCTGTGCATTGGAGGACATTACCAAGAAAGTGAAAAGACAACCTACTGAATGAGAGAGCGTATTTGCAAATCATTTATCTGACAAGGGTCTAGTATCCAAAATGTATATCTGACAAGGGTCTAGTACCCAAAATATATAACCTTCTTCTCTAGCTAGGCTAAGGTGCTGAAGCAACCCAGGGAGCAAGGGTCCTCATGTTCACCATCATCTTATCTATCGTTCCAATGACACTGCATGTTTTCAAATAAATCCATTTGAACTTCACCACCACTCAGTGGGGTAGGCAAGACAGCACTTGTTGCCCCGTCTTAGCCAGGTGGAACTGAGCTCTGGAGAGGTGAAGCAACAGGTCACCTGCTGGTGAGCAGCGGAGCAGACCAAGAGCCCAGGCTGCTCCACAACCCCATGCTTCCTCCAAACAGTCTCCTCAGCAGTTTTCTTACCAAGGTCCTACTTTCCTTCTGTTATCCCTTATCATTCACGTTGTCTTGTTTTTTCTTTTCACTGTTGTTTTAACCTTTATGAGACTGACAATCACCTTGGGGATTAAAAACAAACAAAGGCCAGGCAAAACCTATAAGCAAACTTTTTTCTCTTCCCATCATCGTTTGGGCTATCACGGGGCTACCTCAGAACTTCAGCGGTTTTGTTTCACCATCAGAAGAAGCTGACTCACACAATTTTAAGGAAGGAGATGCGAAGGGAAGAAGAGATACAAGCCCTGGGCGGTTCTTAAGTACACGCCCATGGCCAGCCAGTCCCTGGGGAATCTCAGCCGTGCACACGGGGGCCTGCAGCTCCAGGTTGGCAGGGAGACAGGGTGAATGATATGGGCACCAGCCCCAGTGGTTGAGTTCAGGGCGAGTAGAAAATTCCCTAGAGCAGCGGTTCTCAACCTGTGGGTCGCGACCCCTTTGGGGGTCAAACGACCCTTTCACAGGGGTCACCTAAGACATAACAGTAGCAAAATTACAGTTATGAAGTAGCAACAAAAATAATTTTACGGTTGGGGTCACCACAACATGAGGAACTGTATTAAAGGGTCACGGCGTTAGGAAGGTTGAGAACCACTGCCCTAGAGGGTTAGTGACTAAAGTCTCAGGGAGCTGATCTCAAGCAAATATAAGAAATCTTGTGGAGAGAAGAGGACAGGGATCTGGAGTCAGAGGTCTGGGTTCTGTTCCTGATTCAGGGTCCTGAGTAAGTACCTTCCATCCCCAGGGTTTTCATTTCTTCATCCACAAAGAAAAAGGGAGACTCTCTGACGTCCCTTCAAGAGCTGACTGTTCATGTTCAAGTGCCTGAGAAACGTCACCTGGAGCCAGCTTCTGACCCTGAGAGGGCACAAAGGCCACGGCTACATCCAAGTCTGGGGTCAGCCCTCCGACCTCCCTAACTCCCTTCCAGTTTTCTATAGAGAACAGCTTTCACGGAACTTCTTGAACCTGTTACATTTTCGACCTTCCCCACAGTGGCGGATAAGGAGTTCCGTGTGTTGGCCCCTCGATGCATGAAATAGGACTTCACCCTAAGGAGCAAGACGGCTTCAGGGACTGAGTTCACGGACACATACAGCGCTGCCCCGTGGCGGGCCAGCATGTGCTGAGGGGCGAGAGTGGCAGGTTCTGAGACAGCCAGTGCCCAGCCTCGCCGGGCAGTGGACTCACCGAAATCTTGGTGAAAATGTAGAGCAACAGGGACAGGATGGAGAGGTATATCTGGATGCGCTTGCCGCCAAATCGCTTCCTCAGGTACTCCGGCATCGTCACCACCTGCGTGGGGTGTAAGGGAGGTCACTGCCAGCCAGAGCGGCCAGAAGGCCCAGAGCAGGCAGAACAGTGGCATCCACCGTGGTGGCAGAGATGCGATCAAGGCTTCAACCTTGTTGGTCAGAGAAGTCTGTGATGTGGCCAAAGGCTGTCCTCCGGCCATTTGCTCGTTTCAGTCCCACGTGCCTTACTGCAGAGGGAACTGCGTATTATCCCAGGACTTAGAAGGTGCCTGATAAACACATGTTTTAATGAATAGGTGACTGCACACAACGAAGGAGGCAGATCTTTGCCCTGGAGGAGGAGGGGAGAAAGAGATAGATAGATGATAGATAGATAGATAGATAGATAGATAGATAGATAATAGACAGATAGATAGATGATAGATAGATAGATAGATAGATAGATAGATAGATAGATGATAGATAGATAGATAGATAGATAGATAGATAGATAGATAGATAGATAGATAGATAGATAGATAGATAGATAGATAGATAGATAGATAGATAGATAGATAGATAGATAGATAGATAGATAGATAGATAGATAGATAGATAGATAGATATAGATAGATAGATAATTTCTACACAAAGCACCTGCCGTGACAAGACATCATGACAACAGTAGCATCTTTTCAGTGCATCAAACAAGGTGGCCAGCTGGGTGTGTGTGCTTCACCCTGCTCTGCACACAGGCCTTAACAAGGATTGTGGCTGCGGGCCTGCTCAACTGTTCTCCTAGATTCTTTCTGCAAATTCCAACCACGCTCTGTCTTGTTCCCCTAACCCTGGGCCTGCTCTCTCCTGGGATCAGACACCTGTCACCAACAGCCTCTAGAAGGTGCACAGACTGCCCTGTGTTTCTTCCCTATTGCTGTCCATAGACGCACACATAGCAGGTACTCATCACAGTTCACTAAAGAGATGACACTACGCTGCCTTAGGTAAAATGTCAGAGGGCTTTCTCCAAGAGTAGGAGCATGAATTTGATAGCTGAGTACCACGGCCTGCTCAGAGAACAAACCTGCAGATGTCTATAAGTGAAGGGGAAGTATGAGCCTTTGTTCATGCTGCCCCCCTTCCAGGGGCAGAGGCGCACAGTGCCTCGTAAACACCCAGCCCTAGAGGGCAGGATGCTTCAGAGGGCTCTGAATGCAGTGAGGCTGCTTAGGAGGACTTCCTAGAGGGACACATTGTGGCTTAGGGGGTCTAATTCATGTCCCTAAGAGAAATCAGGAACCTGATAGCCTGGGGAAGAAAGCCAAGACACAGGCTTTCTCTGCCATTTATCCTGAAGTCTCCTCTGCCTTCCAAGAGGACCAAGCTCATGTGTGTGTGTGTGTGTGTGTCTGTGTGTGTACACATGCATGTGCAGTAGATGGAATAACAGTTACTTACCCCAGCCTTAATGTAAATAGGGACAAACACCCAGCCCAGCACAACCACCAAAATCAGGGCCTAAAACCAAAAAAGAAATGGAGTCAGATCATGCTGCCTGGGGCCCCCCAACTACTACAGAACCAATCACCCCGCGGTTTCTCTTCGGGCTGGAGGGGCCTTGCTGCCTGACTGGCCGATGGGAAGGGCAGTTGAGCAACAGTGGAGAGGACCTTTGGTGACTGCCCAGTGACAGCACAACTTCCTTTTCCTTTCCTGGTTTACCAGGAGTAAAATACCATTTAGAGATCTTTTAAAAAAATTAATAATAATAACCATGGAAATCTGGTGGTAAGCATTTCCAAACCTCCAATATGGCTGAAAGGGTAGCGGAGTGCTTGGCCTTTTTTTTTTTCTTTTTTTTTTTTTTTTCAATCTTTATTGTTGAAAGTATTACAGGTGTCCCTCCTTTTTTCCCCCATTGACACACTCCTCCCTGCTTCCGCCCTGCCTTTGCTTCACCGTGTGTTGTCTGTGTCCATTGGTTATGCATATACACATATAAGTTCTTTGGTTTGTCTCTTCCCACCCTCCAATCCCTTCCCTCTGAGGTTTGTCCATCTGTTCCCTACTTCCATGTCTCTGGATCTATTTTGTTCATCAGTTTATTTTGTTCATTATGTAGTGTTTGGCTTTTTAAGAGGAAACAGGAACACTATTGCCATCGTATGGGTGGTTTTCTCATGCTATTCTGATGGAAGGGAGGTGGGACCCTGGGGCTCCTGAAACTGGGCTCCTCCTCCATCTGCACCTCAGGGTGGCCGGGAGAGGTTCTCTGACGTCTACAGCACCCACCTCTGAGCAAAGATTGAACTGGCGGACTGCTCAGCCCCTTCCAGCACCAGGACTGGGTCTCTGAGGGTACTCACATTCCACTCAAAGCCCCCGGTGGCAATGCCTGCAGCTGCTCCTGTCCCGGCCAGCCCCACAAAGTGGCCACTTCCGATGTTACTGGCGAAGAGAGAAGCTCCGATCTGGAAACACAAAGATAAAGTAGGGTGAGGACTCCATGCTCCATCAGGACACTCGGGGGTGAGCCTCGGAGAGAAGAGACATGTCAGCCAAGAGAAGGACGGGAAAGAGCAGAGCCAGGCCAGGAACTTGACTGTGCAGGAGTCTGTCAGGGCTGCTGGTTCTGGAGGTGGTTGTGAGGACCGTGAAGAGGAAAAGGACAGGACTAAGGAAGTGACAGTAGGCTGTTTCCCCAAATCAGATGGTCTGTGAGTCCTTGGTGAGCCCAGAGCGCAATGGCGAAGAAGACATGGGAAGCCGCAGCCCCCAGGCCTCCCCTAGAAGTCTCCCGAGAGATTGTGCTCGGGAGCAGGGCCTATACCAGTCATCCCTGTGCCCCCCAGCACCCCTGACTTGGGACCTTGACCAACATAGGCTCTCAGTCAATGGGGACAGTTTGGTAAAGGAACCATTTGAAAGGAAGCCTCTTGGCCTCAGTCCCATAACCTGTCAGAGAAGAGAGTCAGAGCCTGTTTTCCAAGTGACTCCTAGCTGTCAAATCCTGTGATTCCATGCACTCCCAAGTAACAACAGGTGATATTAATAATAATAATACTTCTCTAAATTGATATATTTTTATTTTTACAAAGATCCCAGAGACCCCACAGACACATGCACAAAACAGTGCATTTTTTCAATATGTCTCCTATGTCTCAGTACACAGGTCAAAAGACAGATTGGAAGAATATATATTAAATATCCGAGAGTGAAAACCTGGAAGGGGAAAATACCCCGTGAAACAAGGTAGGAATCCTGCCGTGACCAGTCACAATACTGTGCCATCAACTCACCCGCATCAGAGACCCAGGAGAACTCCAGGAAGTTCAGAGTCCCTTAATACCCAGGGGGAAAGGGGATAGCAGTATTTAATAAATACCAAACTAGTATAATTATCCTCATCCTTGCTAAGCAAATGGGAGGAGGCTTGTAGTTCTTTGTCTGTCCCTAAGAGGGTCCAAATCTGGAACAAAACACATATTCCCCAAAACACAGACAGATCAGTCCAAAAAGCTATCCTAACTGTACCAGACCCTGCGCCCAACATAAGGCAGTGGGTACTTAGGGCCACGTCAGAGGAGAGGGAGATCCCTGAAGGCTCAGCTGAAAGAAGGTCTCTGAAATCATGAGGAGATAATGGAATAAGGGCCTTCATTCATTCATTCATTCATTCATTCATTCACTCAACAAATATTAATTTAGCATTTGCTCAACGTGCCAAGAACTGTTCTGGACATTCGGGATTGGCTATGAGGACCACAGGCAAAACCCCTCCTCTCCATAAGCTTATATTCTAACAGAGAAAACATAAATAAATAAACCAAAAAAAAAAAAAATCAGAGATTGGTAAGCGCTGTGAAGAAGATAGAGAAGGTGTGATAGGAAGACTGTTTTCCACTGAAGGGTGGAGCAAGTTCCCTCTGTGGGGGTTGACCTCTAAGCTGGGATCAGAATGATAAACGCAGTCAACCATTCTGAGATCAGAGGGAAAGCATTCCAGCAAAGCCAAGACCCCAGAGTGGGAAGGTCATCACGGCTGAGAGGCAGGACGAAGGTCAGAGTGGCTGGAGCGTGGTGGGCAAGGAGGAGGGTGGTATGAGACGAGGCTGGAGAGCTGGGTGGGGATGCATCCCACAGGTCCTAGCAAGCCAGGATAGGAAATGCAGATTTTATTGCAAGAGTGATGGGAAGCCACTGGCGGGTTTTAAGCAGGGTAGGGACAGAATCCAATTTGCTTTTATTTTGCTCTCAAGCGTGTGGAAAGTGTAGTGTTGGGGACAAGGGAGAAGAGAGAAATCATGCAGGAGTCCACTGTCACATCTGGACACGGATTTGGTCTTCAGTGGTAGCAGTAGAGACAAAGACAATCGTAAAAATTAGGGTCTGTTTTAGAAACAAAGTTGAGGGGCCTGTTGATGCATCAAATGTGGAAAATGATGGGAAGAGGAATCAAGGGTAACTTCCTGATCCGGGACTTGAATAACTGGGTAGACACCATCCATTAAAGGGAAACTGGGTACTTTGATTATTGCCACTTAAGAGTTTTAATTTTGGGCCGTCTGTACTTTAAAGTGTGTTGCACACTGTAGGCCTGCTTTCCTTTTAAAAGAATAGGCCCTGCAAAGTTTGCAAAAGAAGTTAAATTACTATTGCCTCTGCCTGTAAGTGGAATTCTCGGGGTGTGAGAAGTTCTACTGGCCCAGACTGCAAAACGTTAAAATGCTTTGTGTGTTCGAAGAAAAAGAAGGAAGAGAAGGAGGGAAGGAAGGAAGAAAAGGAGGAGGAGGAGGAAGAGGAGGAGGAGAAGTAGGAGAAACTGGGAAGAAAGCAGGCTATTTAGAGATCCATCTTTTTCTCCTCAAAGCTTGATGGGGATAACAGTCCACCTTTAATCAAAATTCCCTTATGCACACAGCCTGCCTGTCCTGACCCATTATCTTTTCATTTATCATCTCTCCCTTGATAAATTATTAAGCCTAATGTACTATTAAGGGCATAATTACCAGTAATGATTAACTGCATTAGATTAACCTAAGTTCAAGTCCTCTCCAACATCCCCCCAAAGGGATACATTGGACTCTAAGCAGTTGCAGGCTTTCTTGAGGTACCACCTCACCAACGGATGGAATGGGGGCCAGGAAAGCTTTGGGGGTACCAGATGAACTGGGCTCAGATTCAGTTCACTTCTGTCAGGGACACTGCTGTTCTCCCACGTGCTCACCTCGGCCTCATCCTCCACTCCTCCCTTTGCCCATGGCCTGCACTCAGTCGCTTACCGAAACCTGGCCCTGCCCCCACAATGTCATGGGAATGAGCGCTTTTTATATCGCCCTTGCTGACTGTCGTGTCTCTCAACAGGACCATAGCAATAGGCTTCTAGATGATCTCTAGTGACCCCCATCCACATAGCCAGTTACCTCCCCAAAGCACAACTTTGATCAGGTCACATTCCTATTCAGAGGCCTTCCCACACACTTCCCAAGTGGCCTTCTTGGCAGCTCCAAGTTTAAAGGCAAACTCCCTAGAAATTCAGCAAGGTTTTAGCAAAAGTCCCCTCCGTGATACGGTAGCATTGCCTTATAAATTAGGGTTTGGACACTTTCTTGACCTTACTATCTGGGTGATCATAACGTCTGCAAGCTTCAGTCTTCTCTCATGACCGGGTTGTCCAGGAGCCAAATAAGAGCATGAATAAGTAATGACTGTCACTCAGCTGGCCCTCAATACTTTCTATCCTTCAAGAGGACAACCACTTCACCCTCAAAGGCAATTTACAAAAACTACAATGAACACTATTATGGTCTGAATTATGTTCCCCAAAAGTTTATACATGGGAGTTCTAATCTCCACTGTGACTGTATTTGGAGATAGGGTCTCTAGGGAGGTAATTAGGGTTGAATTAAGTCATAGGTGAGTCTCTAATCTCATAGGACAGGTCATGTGAGAGAAGCAGCCATGTGAGTACCCAGAGAGACGGCAGATGTCTACAAGCCAGGAAGAGAGGTCTCACCAGAAACCCACATCTTGGATGTATAGCCTCCAGAACTGTAAAAAATATAGACATTTCTGTTGTTTAGGCCATCCAGTCTGGGATATCGTCTTATGGCAGCCGGTGCAAGCTAATACAGACACCATTGCATTATCGTCTACACTCCCACGCCAGGTTTTCGCTGCCCTTCTTCTCGCTGGGGCTCATCAACAATGCTGTCATCACTCTGATGTCCCAAACACTCTCCCTGTTCAGTCCTCACCCCCGTTCGTGTCCATATGAAATCATGCCCCATCCAGGGAGTCACCCAGTGACGTGTTCTTCTTTATAATTTCCTCCCACATTCCTTCTGAGCACAGGATTGTAGACTTGATCTAAAATTTCCCCAGCTTGACCTTGCTTCTAACTTCTTTCCAAGCCTTCCTCATCCCCTATGGGGGTCAAGAAACCATTACAAGTATTAAGATTGTTTTGCCATCTCGATGCAAGATGAGCTGGGTCTAACCAAACCCGACAGGTTTGATAGCATGGTAACTGGGGAATAACATACTGTCACATCACAAAAGGCAAAAAGACTGTTTTCCTTTGACATTGGGGAATTCACAATCACGTTTCACTGCATCCATTTCTTATATTAGAAAGTTGGCAGGAAAGGAAACATGTGGAGAAATTATAGAAGCATAGAATCTTCCAGAGTTGGATGGACCCACAGATGTCACAGCTTGAATCCCCTCTGCAAACTCCCCCCAAAGTGATGATCAGCTTCTGGATGCATACCTCTAGAGACAGAGAACCCCACACCTTAAAAGGCAACTGAATCCATAATGGAACAACTCCAATGGTTAAAATGTCCATCTTTACCTTGAGCTGAAATTTGCCAATTAGTCCTTCCTGTGTCCTCTGGAGTGATACAGAACAAGTTAAATCTCTCCTCCACAAGCTAGTCCTTCCAATACGTGAGGACAGGGGTCGTACCCACCCTCAAACCCTCTTCCTGTTCTAATGCGTCTGCTCCTCACTGTCCATGGACTTAGATCTCACCATCCTTGTTGCTCTCTGCTTTCCCTCAGTCCCAGCTGTCCCCAAGTGGGCCTCAGACCCAAATGGACCACTCCAGACATGGAGCAGGCTGCCCTTCTTGACTTCCCATCTGGTTTTAGCATCAAGTGACTTCGCATCCTCTTTTAAACCCGCCTGCTCAGCCATGGGGCCTTGGCAGTGGTGAGGACTAAGCCGGGCCCTCTCATTCCCATCACTGTCAGAGAATTTACCTCTAAATTATTGGACCGTTTACCAAGAACAGATTTCCTCTCGTTGCCATTTAGACTCGATAACGCTAACTTGGCCTTAACAATACAGTGACTCTATCACTGAAAGGTTTTTCAGTTCAGTTGTTCCAGGGTTTGGCACAAATCTGATGTTTCCTTATGAGCATCTCTGAAGGGAAAGCTATTTAAACCACCACGGAAAACGGCT